CCGGCGGCGGGCGGGCGCTGGGCCCGCTCCCCGGTGGGAGGCGGGTGTGCCCGGCGCGGGGCCGGGAGAGCTGAGGGGCTCGACCTCCCGAGGGGTGGCGGCCGGCGGGGGGGGGGGGCCTGCCCTCCCCTGCCCTGCCCTCGGGCCCGGGTCCGTCGGTGTCACGGCCGCTGCCGGCACCGCTGGTCCCGCGGGGGTCGCACCGCTTGTCAGCCGTGCTCGTAGCGTCTCCTGAGCCGTGCCGAGCTGAGGGGACTAGAGAAAGGGGGAGGTTACAATGGCTTTAGTCTGAGGCGGATTGAAGCGCTGCGTGGCGGGGCAGCAGCGGTGGGAGCGCAGCAGAGAAACGGGGAGTGAGGGCTTTTTTCACCCGCACCAAGGGCAGGGACTCACGGCGATCGCTTTCCTCCCTCCCCAGCCCCGCGGTGCCGGAGGTGGTGGCGGCGCTGGAGCAGTTCCTGCAGGAGGGAGGGCTCCCGGCGCTGCTGTGGGAGCTCTGCCGGGAGCAGGCCGGCTCCCCCGGGCCGCAGGAGGCCCTGCTCACGCAGGTCGTGTGTGTGCCCGACCGTGTCAGCAACAAGCTCCAGGGCAAAAACCCGCCCGTGTTCTTCCCACAGAACTACTTTCCTCTCCTGGGTGGTGCAATTATCCAGGTGCTGCAGAAGATCTCCGATTCTCTGAGAGGTGAGATCGCAGGAGGACTGATAGCAACAGCTCTTCTGGAGAAGTGTTTTGTGCGTGGACCTCCTTGGCTGGTGCTTTAGATACAGGTGGTGGGTTCTGCCAAGCCTCATGGTCATCCTTCATGCCAAATTTCATTGCATTTAAAAGCATAAGATACTAGGGATGAGGAAGAAGGCTGAGGCTTTCTAAAATCCCGCTGAAAGCTGCTCCCCTACGAGCTGCTAAATAGCATCATCTGTTACCAAAGCCCGATTGTGGTTGCTTGGTCTATGCTGAAGGAATTGTATGGAAGATTTAAATGGGACTGAATGAACCAGTGGCTTTATTGCCGTAGTGTTAACGGGGGAATGAGCTACTTTAGTCTTCTGGCTCTCGCTATGTATAAATACCGGATGCCGCTTTGTGCCCAAAGACAAATGGTGGAGGGAGGACGAGATGATGCCTGAAGAGAAGAAATTAATCTGTGTTTTCAGGCTTCAGTACTTGTAGAAGTGTATGTGCCTTCCTCTGAAGGTTGTTTGGAGAATGCTGGTGATGCTCTTGGTAACCCTGTGTCTGTTTTGTCCCAGATGGCTTGGATTGCTCAATCTCTTTTGTTTCTCATGTCCTGGGGAAGGTGTGCCTTCATGGGAGACAAAGTGAGTGTTTTACCATCCTGTTTTTCTGCATTAGTACAGAAGGATGACTATGATGACAATCAGCTGAGTGAGTGGGAGATGGACCAATTAATACTTTGGGCGTTCTCTGAGTTGGACTGAATAGGCTGCTCTCTGCCTTCTGGGGGTACTCAACTACGTATCTCAGAGATTTTGGTGCTTTTGTCAGCTCACGTGAGTGTGATCTGTTCTCCTCTTAAAAATCACTGAGAAGAGATTAGCCTTCTCCTCCTGCTGTTTGGGGCATAACTATTAAATGCTCTTCTAGTGCTTTTCATCCAGTGGTCGGAAAGTGCCTTCTAAATACCAGTGTAAAGCACTGCCCAAATGTAATAATCCTCTCACATGAGGAGCCTTCAATCTGCCTTTGCTTAGGATTTTGCAGCCACTGAATGCAGAAGTAGTTAATGGGGCTGGGGAAGAAGAGGGAAGATTTTCTAGCTGTTTACTGTGACAAGGAATACTTGCAAGTTCCTTAGGCTGCTTCAGTTAGTTCTTAGCACGGGAGCAATTTAGAACTGCAAACTACGATGTATTGCTTCATCTGGTAAGGATCTTGAAATCTGCAGGCTGACCTTGAGCACCATTGCATCAGTTCCATCCATCTGCTGTATTTACCTGTTTTCCCTTCCACTTCAGAGGAAATCCTGAGCGTTTTGGTTCCCCGCCTAACGGATCTCACCAAGTCAGACTGCATCTGGCAAAGAATATGCTGGCGACTGGTGGAATGTGTGCCAGACCGCTGTTTGGAAGCTGTGGTTCTTGGGTTTGTGCAGAGAGCACCCGGGTAAGAACTCTGCTTTTCTCCCTGATCCAGAGCAAAAGCTGGAATTCTTTCACAAATAGTTGCAGAATTGGTTTCTGAAAGGGGCTGATGTGTGTGTGTTTGTGTAGGTGGTTTCTTACAGTGCTGTTTTTTGAGAAACTCTTGAGTAAAGTAGTTGATTGTTGCCTCTCAGGTAGAACCTGCACCGTTCCTTAAAGATCTGTTTCATGACATGCAGTGAAAAAACAAGTGAAAACATTCTTTGCAATTGCTGTCTCACTCTTAAAGCTTGGAGGTGTTTTAGAGACTTGGTTGCAAACAGCTACTTGGAGAATTTTCTGTGATTAGCGGCAGCGTGACAGTAATTACATGGATTCCTGATGTTCTTCTGTTGCCCTGTCTTGCTAGGGCAGATGTCTTGTCTAGGTTGCTGGGGAACCTGGTTGTGAAAAACAAGAAAGCTCAGTTTGTGGTGACACAGAAGATGGTGCTCTTGCAGTATGGCCACACGGTAAGGACCCTGCAGTGAACAGTGTGTTAGCGACACCTGCTTTTCTTAAGTGCCAGTGTTTTTTGTAGCTGAGCTCCAAGTCTTCTGGAGTAAGATTTAACTCCTTATTCTGAAATAGCCTGTTCACGTGTACCTGAGCTTTGCATCCCTCAGCTCAGCATAACGATGAGAAAGTGCTAAACAGTTGCTTTGAAATAATGGGATTTATGTGCTTTCTCAGGGTTGAAGGCCATTAGCAGAATTACTGTACTCTTTTTCTGGAACCAAATGGTTATTGGCACATGATTTCAGGGTTCTGGGGAGCTGGAGACATCTGGTTAATTTAGAATCTGAGAGAAGAGACTGAAGAAGCCTCAACCTGCCCTCAGGGATAAGAATTAGATTGAGGAGACAAGACAAGGACTGGGATTGTTTTGGGGTTTTTTTTCTGCACATCTGCATTTGTCACAAGGTGTTAGGAAGTGTTCTGGGGCTTGTAATGTTGTTGTGGGGGATGTTCTCTAGACTTTGTGTTCCATGTTTGCCTGGGACTGTGCTGATCCTGTTTTGATGGTAAAAATACTGTCCTGAATTTCTGTTCTGTTTTCCATGTATTTCATCAGCAACTGTGTGTGTGTGTTTGGTTGATGTTTTTCAATTTACTTCTCTGTCTCTGAATGTTGTCAACCAGTCTCTTAGCATGAAAAGTTTAATGAAGTAAAAATACACACTTGCCGTTGCTGGATGACAACTTTATGCCCACTTAAAGCAGGACTTGTGGTTTTCATTGCAGACTGCAGTGCTACAGAACCTCCTTGGCTACCTGGCCATGGATAGCCTTCGGCGTGCCTTATTGATCAAAGTAAGGTTAAGTAACGTTGTTGGGGAGGTATCTGATGGAAAAATTGGACTGTGTGAGTGTGTGTGTATGTGTCTGTGGGGTGCACTATTTTGGTACTTCTCTAAGATGCTTTTGTTACTGTTTGTGAGAGTGAGGGAAGCCCTATCATAGCACAAGCAAACTGTGATATAGAAATAGAAGGCTTTCTGCACTGCTGGTGTTAGTTTTTAGTATTTAATTGGCTGAATTGTCTTCCAAGTAGCAAACCTAAATGAGGCTTGGATTCTGACAGGTGTCACATGTCCTTCATCCTTCTCAGCTTCCTCTGTCAGCCCCTGCTTGTGTGGCTGGGCAGGTGGCATCAACTGATGAAGTTGTTGATTGCTGTCTGTGTGCCAAATGGCTGATGCTTCAGATCATTCTCAGCTACCTTTTCCTGGGTGGGGATGCAGATATTTTCCCTCTCCAAGTCAGCAGTGTCATGGAACTTCTAGGAAATCTGCATCTCTGGAAATCTCTACTGTTTATGACGATTTTTTTTTTTTTTTTGCACTGGTTAACTGATGAAGTTGTTGATTGCTGTCTGTGTGCCAAATGGCTGATGCTTCAGATCATTCTCAGCTACCTTTTCCTGGGTGGGGATGCAGATATTTTCCCTCTCCAAGTCAGCAGTGTCATGGAACTTCTAGGAAATCTGCATCTCTGGAAATCTCTACTGTTTATGACGATTTTTTTTTTTTTTTGCACTGGTTATGTTCTATTATTCTAATTATCTGGAAGTACTGGAAGCTGTATAAGATTGGACTTGAAACATGTTACACCTTACAGTATCATATTGGTTTTTGACAATAATACCTATGGTTCTGCATATAATTATCACTTTTAAATAAGAAAAACCACCCACCATTATTTTTAACAATACAGTAAATGAAGCTGGTGTGGAGTTCTCAGTTGATCAAACACAGTACGTTTTGAGCCCTGGAGTACGAGATTAGCTCCATTTTTAGGGAGTGTAAAGTTCACTGGGAAGCATAAAGAAAAACAAAGTGGCATCAGAATATACAGTGTTCTGTATGAAAGCACGTTTTTGAAATGTGCTTCAAAGAAGAAGATTACTTGTGTGTTGAAAAGATCTATTTCAAGCCAATTTGAGTTCTCTGATTCAGGTGCTGAAAGACCTGTTGGAGACCTGGGGCAACAGCAGTGCGGTGAAACACTCCCCACCCGAGCAGCAGCGGTACATCAGCCAGGCCATCCTGATCTGCCTCTCCCACCTGAGGGACCACGAAATCGAGAGCTGCAGACAAGGTGAGGCAGTAGGAGAAGCAGGGGATGGATTTGTGTAACAGAAAGTCTTACTGAGTAGAAAAACACCTTGTTTTGATCTATGGATAAACAGGATTGTCCCATCTTCATCTCGAGACTGGTATGATGTAATTCCAAGTGCATAGCTTTAAATTATGAAATTGGAGAAGCATATTTTTGAACTAAGGTTCTTACCTGAACAGTGGTTTGGGAACCCTTAAGTTTTGTCACAGAAAAACAGGGATTGACTCTGGGACTAGGTAGAGGAATGATGCGATTCAAAATTGATAGACTTTCTGTTGGAACATGAGTAAGGCTTCAAAGAGGACAGGGGAAAGTACACTGAGGATAAAAAGTTGTTTGGTTGGGCTCTGACTGTCCATGCGCGTTCCTCTGTGTCATTCTGCTCCCCTCAGTGCGTGGTGAGTAGGGACAGTGGGTTACCAGCAAGGACCTCCTATTATGGATTCATACAGGGCATAGCACACTACGGTCCTTGTCTAAAATTTCTGTTTCTCTTGTAATAAAAAAAAATTCAGTCCAATGTCTAGAGTTACTTCTCTCTGTGTATGGCTTTTGGAGGGGGGAAAAAGGTTGACTTCTAGGTTTCATTCTAGAATTGATTTTTGTGTAGGTGAAAAAGTGACTTGTTATTTACTAACATTATTGTAGTTTTATAAACTGTTTTTTATCTGACAGTTGTTGAAAAGATAAGCTTTTCAGAGTTGAAGGAGGTCAGTCTAACAGCAGTGAGCCTGCCTGGTAAAGCTGGCAACCATCATTCTCTGTGGGCTGAGCAATACTGGTGTTACCTGCCTGGTTCAGCTTATCTAGGTGGTGAGGAAAATTTCTCCCTCTGTGACTGTCATAGTGCTCAGAATTTGTAGATTCCTGAAAACATGGCTTTTCACTTCAGTGAAAACTGAAGATTGTCTTGACTTACCGTCATTTTTTGTTTTGGTGAAAACAGAAATATTCAAAATTTAGAATATATGGTAACGTTTTGCTGACTTTGTTGACCATGCAGAAGTATGTGTTTATTATATTGGTGCTGAAGGGCAATCCTGCTATTGCAGAAAGAGAAGTCATAGCTGCATGGGCCCTTCCTGTATTTCTACCTGTTACTGGGTGGTGAGTGGCTAAATATGCCCTCTGAGGGAACTGGCATAAAGATGGATGTTTGTTTCTGTCATTGTTTCATGCACTGTTTGGGCTTTTTTCCAGAACTTCTCACAAGCATGATGGAGGGTGTGAAGTGCCACTTGGACAGCAACCTACCACAAATACGGCGGCTGGGAATGATCGTGGCAGAGAGCATTAGTTTGAAAATAAACACTGATGGTCCTGTCCTGAAGTTTCAGGTGAAGGTTATAATGAAATTTATGCCTGGTGTGCAGGGCCTAGAGGAAATAAAAGCTTTAAACTAGATGATCCAGGGCATTATAGCATCTGGAAATAAAGAAAGGCAGCAACATTTTCAAAAAGAGAGGATATCTATTTAAAAAAAAAAAAAAAATTGTATTATGACTTATTGTATTACGTGGGGGAATCAAAGTCTGACCCGTGGAAGTTGAGAGGGAATGGCAAACCTAAACCAGTGGGGAACACTCAGTCCTTGACACAGTGGGAAGACCTGCTCTGAGTTGAGATTTTCAAGCTTGACATGGGGATATATGCTCTGCTATTTCCAGTAGAGTTTGCAAGAACTATGTGATTAAATCACATTAATTCTTTAAAAAACTGCATCATCCCTCGTGTCACATTGCCGTTTATTGAATTTTTTAAAGATTGTAAATAACATTCAGGCAAGGTCTGATCAGGTACTACTGTTAATTATAGAGACAAAGATTACGTATGGCACAGGTCGCTATACAGCATAAATACGCTACTACTGGCAGCACTGTGATTGAAAGAAAGGGGATTTTTGTGGGTTCACGTGCTCGTGATTCAGTCTTCATTTGCACGTTGCAGAAGGCTCAAATGTTGAATGTTGGGGTGTATTTGCAATCAAATAGTGCAGTAACAGTTATTCTGAATGTCTAGTATGAAGAAGATGATGAAGCAAGAGAACTGAAGTCCCTTCTGGTGCAAACTCCACCCTCCTCTGTTGTCCCCAGCCTTCCAGATGAAGAGTAAGATATTGCTACTATTCATACCGTCTTTTTGCTCTTAGTACCTTTTTTTTTGAGTTACACAATAGAGCTGTATTCGAGACGTCTTGCATATTCTTAAGCATTACAGTGCACCTTATTCTTACAATGCACTGTAGTTATTTTAAATTCATCATTCTAATGGTAGTATGTATTAAAATTGCTTGTTTGACAGCTGCATGTGGTGAAACCATGCTGGAGTTTCTAGGGCTCTTAACTGCACCTGGAGAGAATCAAATGGGCCTTTCTGTTCACATCTGGGAAATCTGGCATTTGAGCCATATACCCCCAGCCCGTTTATCAGTAACGAAAATCAAGCATATCTGTCAGTCTAAAGGCTGGTTCTCTGGGCTCTCAACTTCCATAGCCTCTGCTGAGGCTCTTGGCCCTTGAAGCACTTAATTTTACCAGCAGATGAATGAAGCGCTTCATGTTATTAGAAAGTGAAGCTGTGCGGTACTGCAGTGAAATATAGAAGATTTATTGCTCCCATTTTAGGGGCAGAGAAGCAGAAAGCAGAGAGTTGAAAGGACATGCCAAAGTCCACAGAAATAGGTACAGGAAAAAAAAAATCTGTTATCGTATTCATCCCACTAGCAATGGTTAAAGATGTTTCTTGCCCATTTGTTCAGTTTCATTCAAAGCTTGAAATGAAATTTCTGGGTGCATGTCTCGGATCCTCCTGGAAACCATGCTAAGGCACATGGAAAACAAGGAGGTGACTGGTGACAGCCAACATGGCTTAACCAGGGGCAAGTCATGCCTGACAAATTTGGAGGCCTTCTACGATGGGGCTACAGCATTGGTAGATAAGGGGAGAGCAATGGATGTCATCTACCTGGACTTCTGCAAAGCATTGGACACTGTTCCACACAACATCCTGGTCTCTAAACTGGAGAGACTCAGATTTCATGGATAGACCACTCCTTGGACCAGGAACTGCCTGGACGGCTGCACTCAAAGGGTTGTGGTCAATGGCTCAATGTCCAAGTGGAAGCCAGTGATGAGTGGTGTTCCTCAGGGGTCAGTACTGAACTGGTGCTGTTCAACATTTTTCTCAAGGACATGGATAGTGGGATTGAGTGCACCCTCAGCAAGTTTGCTGATGACACCAACCTGTGTGGAGTCCCTTCCAGTCCCTAAAGGGGGCCTACTGGAGAGATGCAGAGGGACTCTTTATCAGGGAGGGGAGCCATAGGATGAGGGGGGACGGTTTTAAGCTGAGAGAGGGGGAGATTGAGATGAGATACTGGGAAGAAATTCTTTGTCGTGAGGGTGGTGAGAGCCTGGCCCAGGTTGGCCCGAGAAGCTGTGGCTGCCCCATCCCTGGAGGGGTTCAAGGGCAGGTTGGAGGGGGCTTGGAGCAACCTGGTGTGGTGGGAGGTGTCCCTGCCCAGGGCAGGGGGTTGGAACTAGGTGATCTTTATGGTCCCTTATAACCCAAATCATTCTATGATTCTATAATTGTGTTGGCCAATCAAGGTGGGAGACTGCAGCAGAAGTAATCATCTGCCATTCTGTTTCAGCAGCAGGGGCTGATGTTGTGGGTAGTTTCTTATGAATAAGTACTGTTACTCCATTGGGTGTAATACTTCTTGTTCCTCAAAGCAGGAATGAGAAAGCAGATGCTGCAGTGCTGATGGCGTTGGAAAGTAACAAGAAATCACATACAGCAGCTCCTGTGAAGCCAGATGAGGAGTCAGATGCTGAGCTTGACAGGTAAGGGCCAAGGAACTGGTAGGAAATGAAAAATAAACAGCAGGTTCCTAAGAGCAGATATGGGGAGAAGCGAGATATTGGTAGTTCCATTTCTTGGCAAATCTTGTGCTTTCTGACCTTGTTCAGCTGAGTAGTGTGCAGCACAACAGGACATCATGTAGGAAATTGCACACAAGTATGTTAGTCAATAATTTGAGAAATGTCTGTTATGTACATCCATGGTATTTATTCCATTTGACTTTGATATGTGTTTCCTGGAATTATGGATATACATCTACCCATTTAATAGTGGACCTGCGTTATTCTGTCAGTTTACCAATATATGAAGAAATCTCAAGAACCAACACTGGGTCACCTGAGTCCTTCCTTCACTTGACCAGGAGATCCAGTTTTAGATCTGGTCATAGAACTGCTCTTCCACTAAGCTTCAGAGTAAGAGATAGAACTTCCTAAGGAGCCCTTTCAGGCTGGCCTTCAGCAGTGCTGCTGGATGATGGAGTGACAGTGTTACCACAATGTGTGTGCTGGTTCTTTCCCTCTTGTGTGGAGAGCTGGGGAAAGGAAAAATGTCTGTACCCCATAGTCTAACTCCTGCTTTTATTCCTTTTACAGTGATGATGACTTCATCCCTTATGACATGTCCGAGGATAAAGAACTAAAGACTAAGGCTCCTGTGTATATCCGAGACTGTATTGAAGGTAGGAGAATTTGGGCTGAGTCTTTATCTGTTTCTTTCTGGTTTTGGGAGAGTGATCTCTGTGCAGGTTTATTTTTTTTCTGAGCTAATTTTAAGAAGCTGTAGGATTTCAGTAACGTGGGCTCAAGTGTTGAACTGTAATTTCTGAGTAATTTCAATGTAGTTCCTAATGCCGATCTTGCGCTGGGCCATTGGTACCTACCTGTAACAAGACAAGCTATTGGCAGAAGAAAGTTGGGGGTATATACCCAAGCATAACCATTTTGTTAATAGTTTATGTTTGTCTTCTGATTAATTTCAGTCCTGACAGGTTCTGAAGATGTGGACAAATGGGAAGCTACAGTCAAGGCTCTTGAGAGCTTGGTTCGAAAGAATCCAGCAGCAACAAGAGAGGTGAAGTACTATGAGCTAATACAGGAATTATCCTTTGCCCTTGTGAGGAGACTAAAGGTGCCACCAGGGCAGCAGGCAGGCTGTGTGTGAGGCTGCAGGGCACAATGGAACAAAGAAGGAGGCGAAGGGGCTGGCATTTTGCAGCTCCAGTGCTGAAAATGAAATGTATTGCAAGTAGTCCTTGCCAGTAACATGAGGCAGCTCCATGCTTTGTGCTGGGCAGAAAAAAAATTGGAAATGCAGTTTACAGAGCAGCCACAAATTCCACAGACCAATTGATCTTAATTTTGGATTTAATTGATTTTGAATTGAAATTGAATTTAATTGTTATTCCCCAATAAAAAGCAGGATAAAATCAAATGGACTTTCGCTATTTGCTTGTACAAGTGTAATGTCTTCTGGAGGGAGTAGTTGGATTGTACTGGTCAAGATGAAAAGCTCAGGTGAGAGGAACTTGGGACAAGATCACTGGTGTAATGAGAGCTCACCACCACTTGTTAGTGAACGCATGAAGGTGGCAGAAATGCAGGGCTCTTCCAGCTGAGAAAGGGAAGAGGTGTTTGGTAAACAACACGCAATCTGCTGCTACTTACCTGGATGGGTTTTGGATGTGGTGCTGCACCCTTGAACTCATTAGTTATAGTCACAAGTCTTCCATGATGCCACCACTTGTCCAAAAAGCAAAAGTGAATGTGGACAGAGGAATCGGCATAGGGTTTGTTCAGTGTTTTGAGAAATCTGTCTGGTCAGTGTTTAGCTTAGTGTGTTTTCTCACCCTCCAGAGCTATAGACATGTTGCCTGTATTCCAGACCCTCATTGTCTTTGCTTAAACATTAGAAATGGAAAATAGGTGCTGCTGTGTAAATCCTGTGAGAAAGAAAACACCTGCAGGGACTTGATTCCATTTTTTGTATTTTGAGCAGGTGAGCGTGGAGCTGGCAAAAATACTACTGCATCTGGAGGAGAAGACCTGCATTGAAGGCTTTGTGGAGCTCCGTCAGAGAGCTCAAATAGCTGTTTTAACCACAGATCCAATACCTGTGAGTCCCTCTTACTGCTTTCCTTTTTTCAATTGAGGCACTGGCAAAAATTTAAGCTGATAGAAGCAGCTATCGGTGTGGTAAAATAGCTTGTTCACATCTGACAGCATTTATGCAGAGATGTGCTATGGACTGTAGAATCTGCAGTGGACAACTACAACAACAGAAAAGAGAAAACTCTGTCAGAGCTGTAATGAACTGGAGGAGCTGTTTGGAGACTGTTAGTATGAGTGTACCTGACAAGGCAAATTAGATAAAGACTTGTTGCATTGGAGGGAGATTGTTTCACATAGAGGGAAGCTGATGTACGAAGTGCTTCTCTAGAAGAATACATGACTGGTGATTGTGTTGATAGAATCACAGAATGGTTTGGGTTGGAAAGGACCTTCAAAGCCCATCCAGTGCTACCCCCTGCCCTGGGCAGGGACACCATCCACCAGACTGGGTTGCTCCAAGCCCCCTCCAACCTGCCCTTGAACCCCTCCAGGGATGGGGCAGCCACAGCTTCTCTGGGCAGCCTGGGCCAGGCTCTCACCACCCTCACACCAAACAAGTTCTTCCTTATGTCCAATCTAGAACACCAAAGAAGTTCTTCCTTATGTCCAATCTAGATCTATCCTCTGTCAGCTTAAAACCTTTTCCCCTCATCCTATCAGTACAGGCTCTGGTAAAAAGTCTCTCTCCTATCTTTTTTTATAAGCTCCCTTTAAGTATTGAAAGGCCACAATAAGGTCTCCTTCAAAGTGACAAAGCTGCCATGACAATTGTTTGGTTACCTCTGCATAGGAGGGAGAGAAGAAAGGTGAAGTCTCATTTGTCATTTACTTCCTTTGTGAGAATCTAGAAATGGAAGTATCTGAATTTCCCCTATTTGTGCATTTCTCCTGAAACAAAGTGCTTTTAGAGTTAGTGGGAAGACTGTTTCCAGCCAGGGTTTGCGTTCATTACACCTTGATTTTTCTTTACAGGTAGCAAAGTATTTGACCTCCCAATTCTACTCTCTGAACTATAGTCTTCGTCAGCGCGTGGACATTCTCGATGTAAGTGCTCTGCTCTTCTCACTTCCCTTGTGTCTCTGTTGCACCAGCGCTGTTCCCCCAGGATGTAATGGGGTTACCTTTTATTCCTCATAGGAGGAGGCAGAGGCATGGGAATCTCTTATGTTAGTGCTTGTGCCTGGCATTCCCCTCTCGTTTGTAACCCCGCTGCACTCCAGTCGTACAGCTGTCCTTCCCCACAGAATGCAAAATATGGGATGGCCAGTTGCCTAGGAGAAGCCGCTGTTTCCTAACATGCCATCAGGCTGTTTTATCTTCCCTTTCTGAAAAACGGTGATCTACCCGTGACTCCTACAGCATCTCACTGTGTCTGAAGAAGGAGCCACTGTTGTGTTTCAGGGCTAAGTGACCAAGTGTTTGGTCAGTACCTTGGAGCCAAGTTGGTTATTTGGGCATCAGTTACCTTGCTGTCTTCATTTAAAACCTCTTGTGCCTTCCTGCCTTGCTCTTCCTATCAGTATGGGTACAGGTAACTGTTGTTGTTGTTGTTCCCTAGTACAAGGGATTACCCCTTTTTAACAGAGCCTCCCTCTTTTTCATCCAGGTATTGGTTTTGGCAGCTCAGGAGCTGTCCTATCCCAAATCCCATGGGAAGACCAAGCATTCTGGTGCCCAAAAGCCTTGTATCCAGCTTCTTCCTGGAAGTGATAGCTCTAAGGACTGGAGAAGAGTTGTTGATGAGAGGATCAAAAGCAAGACTCGGAGATTTGCCACGGTGAGGCCAGGGCAAAAACAAACTCATGTCAAATCCAGCAAAAGGAGACACTGGGAGTTGCTGTAATACTGTCTGGAAATTGGGCCCAACCCAAAGGAAAGACTGTGTAACTTCAAAAATAAATTCATCTTAGTATCTGACTGAATCTTTTGGTGCAGAGTACCTGGCAGGGAGGGGAAAATAAACCTTGAACTCCTTGCTTTGCACTGGGGGATAATTGTTGCTGTTCTGAGCTTGTCTGGCCGCTGCAGGGAGCTGTGACTTCACTGCACAGATCCCAGAGCCGCCTCCATCAGAGGAGCTGCCTCTTCTCAGGACTGTCTCAGCCTATTTTTCAGGGACATAAATTGATGCCAGTTTGCCAGTTCCCAGAACTCCCCTGTGGTTCATCCTGGAGAACTTGCTTTCTAAAACTCCTCTATCCCTTGCACATTCTTGTTTCTTATCTGTAGCCCAGCATTACTGAGCTATATTGTATTGAACTATTTGTATGTGTTAGAGGATATGCAGTGGGAAGTGAGCCATCCAGTCTGGAAAGGAGTAGCCACAGGCATAGAAGCAGACAGTGGCTGACAATGGCTGCATGGGGCTCTTGACAGCGTCGAGTAAAGTGGAAGAGTTGGATGCTGCATCTTGTGCCTAAACTTCATTTTTCTCTTTGGCAGGGTCAGTCTCAAGTGGAACGGGCTTCTGGCCCAAATGAGTTTAATTCTGTTGCTGGGCACTTCTTTTTTCCATTGATTCAGCACTTTGACAGGTGAGTGTGAACCCCTTGGGATGTGGGCCTGGAGCTGCCAGAGTCAACCTTTCTGCTTGTTTTGCTTGCCCCAGAGCAGCTCGCTAAAAACCAGAAGCTCTGTGGGAGTCCAGTGACACCACACTGGTACCTGGTACATGCATAAAGCTTAGAGAGGGCGGGTTCATGGTCTCTTGGGCTTATCCTATGAAGTCTTGTTGGGCAGGAGTATGTGAGACCCTGCAGAAGTGAAGATACGTTATGAAGAATAACCTGTCACAGGTCCACAGGCAGATGATTTTGGCAGACCCTCCACCTTGGGAGGTTCACACAGAATCACAGAACTTTAACCAAAATTAACTCTATCTCAGGTTTGGGCCTGTCACCTGGACTGGTCCTTGTGACCATGTTTATTGTCAGTTACTTAAGTCTTTGCTTACCTAAGGAAGGCAGAGTAATTGATACCATGAGAACCCAGCCAGGAATATACAGTCTAAGAGGTTCCTCCAGAGTATTGATGATAACTTCTTAACCCAGCTGGCGGAAGAGCCAACGAGGAGAGAAGCACTACTGGACCTAGTACTGATGAACAAAGAGGGACTGGTGGAGGGCATCAAGGTTGAGGGCAACTTTGGTTGCAGTGACCATGGAAAGACAGAGTACAGGATTGTGGGTAGCACACACAAAACAACAAGTAGGACTGAAACTTTAGATTTCAAGAGGGCTGACTTTGTCCTTTTCAAGAAGCTGCTAGGTGAAATCCCATGGGCTAGGGCTCTGAAAGGTAAGGGGGCTCAAGAGAGCTGGGCAATATTCAAACATTGCTTTCTCCAAGCTCAGGATCAGCACATTCCCAAGAGCAAGAAATCGAGCAAGAGAAGCAGGAGAACCTGTGTGGTTGAGCAGGGACCTTCTGAAAAAAATAAAGTGGAATAAGGAAGTTTACACTGAGTGGGAGAAGGGACTGACCACTTAGGAGGATTGCAGGGATGCTGTTAGACTATGTATGAAGAAACAAGGAAAGCCAAGGCCTCCTTGGAGTTAAAATTGGCAAGAGATGTGAAAGTCAACAAGAAGGGTTTTTTCAATTATATTGGAGGCAAAAGGAAAACTAAAGAAAATGTGGGCCCGGTGATGAATGAGTCGGGTGTCGTGGTAACAAGGATGCAGGGAAGGCTGAGTTGCTGAATGCCTTCTTTGCCTCAGTCTTTACTGCTCAGGCCAACCCCCAGGAGCCATGGACTTTGGATGAATCAGAGAAAGTTTGGACTAAGGAAGATCTTCCCTTGGTGGAGGAGGACCAAGTTAGAGATCAGTTAAGAAGGCTGGACATCCACAAGTCCATGGGTCTGGATGGGCTACACCCAAGAGTGCTGAGGGAGCTGGCAGAAGTCATTGCAAGACCACTCTCCATCATATCTGAGAGGTCCTGGAGAACAGGCGAGGTGCCCGAGGACTGGAGAAAAGCCAATGTCATCCCAGTCTTCAAAAAGGGCAAGAAGGAGGACCTGGGAAATTACAGACCAGTCAGCCTCACCTCCATCCCCAGAAAGGTGATGGAACACCTCATCCTGGGCATCATCTCAGAGCATATGGAGGAAAAGAAAGCTATCAGAAGTAGTCAACATGGATTTACCAAGGGGAGGTCATGTCAGACTAACCTGATAGCTTTCTATGATGGCATGACTGGTTGGATAGATGAGAGGAGGGCAGTGGATGTTGTCTACCGTGACTTCAGCAAGGCTTTTGACACTGTCTCCCATTCTCATAGCTAAGCTTAGGAAGTGTGGGTTAGATGAATGGACAGTTAAGTGGATTGAAAACTGGCTGAAAGACAGAGCTCAGAGGGTTGTGATTAGGGGCACGGAGTCCAGCTGGAAGTCTGTAACAAATGGGGTTCCCCAGGGGTCAGTACTGGGTCCAGTCCTCTTCAATATATTCATCAATGACCTGGATGAAGGGATGGAATGTACCCTCAGCAAGTTTGCTGATGACACAAAACCAGGAGGGGTGGCTGACACCCCAGAAGACTCTGCCACCATCCAGTGAGACCTGGACAGGCTGGAGAGTTGGGCAGAGAGAAACCTAATGAAATTTAACAAGGGCAAGTGTAGGTGCTGCACCTGGGGAGAAATAACCCCCTGCACCAGGACAGGTTGGGGGTGACCTGCTGGAGAGCAGCTCTGAGGAAAAAGACCTGGGAGTTCTTGTGGACAACAGGATGACCATGAGCCAGCAATGGGCCCTGGTGGCCAAGAAGGCCAGTGGCATCCTGGGGGGCATCAAGAAGAGCGTGGCCAGCAGGTTGAGGGAGGTCATCCTGCCCCTCTACTCTGCCCCGGTGAGACCCCATCTGGAGCACTGTGTCCAGTTCTGGGGCCCCAAGTTCAAGAAGGACAGGGAACTGCTGGAGAGGATACAGAAAAGGGCCACAAAAATGATTAAGGGCCTGGAGCATCTCTCTTATGAAGAGAGGCTGAGGGACTTGGGTCTTTTTAGTCTTGAGAAGAGAAGACTGAGGGGGGATCTAATCAGTACTTACAAATACTTAAAGGGTGGGTGCCAGGAGGATGGGGCTGGTCTTTTTTCAGTGGTGCCCAGTGACAGGACAAGAGGAAATGGGCACAAACTTGAATATAAGAAGTTCCACCTAAATGTGAGGAGGAACTTCTTTACTGTGAGAGTGGTGGAGCACTGGAACAAGCTTCCCAGAGAGGTAGCAGAGTCTCCTTCTTTGGAAACGTTCAAAACCCGCCTGACACGTTCCTGTGCAACATGCTATAGGTAGACCCGCTCGGGTGGGGGGGTTGGACTGGATGATCTCCAGAGGTCCCTTCCAACCCCATATGATTCTATGAAAGGTTCTTGTAATACCAGTCGTAGTGGTTTATTTCCAGTAGGGCAGTGGTGCTTGCTTTTGCAAGTAAAACCTGTTGGTAGAATGAGTGATACCTGCTGTAAGACCAGAGGATGTTACCGGTCTGGGAGCACAGATGAAAACCAAGAGCTGTGGCCTGTGTTAAGCTAGGAGTAACTGTACAGTGACTATTGGTTTAGGGATTCAGGCTTGTCAGGGACAGTTCACCCTGTGTGACCACCCTGACTGTTCCAAAGACGCACTGATCAGCCTTCTTGCTGCTACAGACTGTGTGTTTTGCACTTGCAGGCCTTTGACAACATTTGATCTCCTGGGGGAAGATCACTTTGTCCTTGGAAGACTGGTCCATGCTTTAGCAATCCTGATGTACTTGGCTGTCAACACAGTGGTAAGAAAAGGCTGCAGGAGCTTGCAGGTGGCAGGAGAGACCCAGCCTGGGAGCTCAGAGGTGCCTTCTGAAACCACAGTGTGCACTGGGGCCTGCCACACGTAGACTGGCAGCAAGTTTGAGTTGGGTGTGTGCTGAGAACTTGCAAAAAGGGCTGAGAGAAAGTGGTCAGAAAGGAGTCATTCAGACACCCCTGCAGTATCTTTTGCTGCCTCTGGTAGAAAAACTATCAACTTCTGTGGGAGGTTGGGCACTACGTTTCACTTTAACTTAAGCATGAGTTTCCTCATCTGTAAAATAAGGTTAATTGCAACCATAATATTCACAGTAGTGTATGTGAAGGTCTGGCTCTGTACAGTGGTGTGAATGGGAAGGTATTCAGTGTTTTTGTCATAATCTTGTTTTGCAGGCAGTTACTGCAATGGGAAAGGCACTGCTGGAGTTTGTTTGGGCTCTGCGTTTCCACACTGACTCGTGAGTTGTAGTTGTATGCTTCCATTTTTAAAGATCAGCTGTGAGCCAGTCTGCAGCCATGCTTTGTCTTTGTCCAATACTAGCACCCGACTGAGAATGTCAGTGACTTAATGCATTAACTCCGTGCTGTCCTCCAGCTTTGGGCTCTTATGACTGAGTATTGCAAGAATATGTAACAAAGGTGTTGCTTTAATGTCAGGCCAAGGTATGAACTTGGCCAGTGTCTACTAGTGGGTGGTACAGTTGTTATCTATAGAGAGCATGACAAATTTCTTGGTCGGCTATCCATGTGATAGTTCCGTCTATATTTACTTGGAGAGCTCAGAAATCTTTAAATGTGATTCCAGCATTCAACCCTGGAAAGAAATAGAGACATGTAGCCAAAATGCTGTAAACAACCAGTTTCTGTTTTCATCTCAGACTTGTCCAGGACTGAATTGCATGAGAGTCCCTGCACCACAGTATGGCAGGGGCTCCAGATGTGGGCTCTACCAGCTGGTGCTCCTAACCAGTAGGAATATGGCCTAAAGTAATTATAATCGCAAACATTTGAATCTGAAGAGCCCCTGAGGTAGAGTCTGAAGCTGCAAGTTGTAACCAGTTCAGGTTTTCTCCAACAGGTATGTGCGCCAGGGTCTCTTGTCCTGTGTCTCTTCCGTGCTCCTCAGTGTCCCTGCAGAGCATCTCCTGGAAGACATAACAGAAGAGCTTTTGGAGACTCAGTCTTGGCTGGGAGGTAAGTGGTGGTGGTGTATGCCAGTGTTTTTCTCGTTAGTGGTCCAGTCGTTGTGCAGCATCTCTTTGTGATGGTAGCAGTAAAGTCCTGGTGTTGTACACCAGAGATTTGCATAAGCATAATTATTGCTTGCTTGTAAGTTCAGGGCAAATAGCAGACCACGCTGTATGTCTCTGTCCAAGCGTGCAACCACCCATTTCTTGAAGCTGCAGAAGGTATCGTCATATTGCACATTACATCCAGGCAGTGACAGACCAGCAGTAACATCCATGGCTCGTGTGGCCCATTTGCACCACACACACAGCCAATGGGTTTTGTTAGTTCTAAAAATAGGAGGAAGGAGAGTATGGCCCTATCTCCCAACTTCCCGTTGTTGATGGCAAGAACAACCTATGGAAGCCAGCACGTGACTGCTTGCTGCACCCAATGCAAGCTGCATTTTTGGGGTCTGGGAGGCTGGAGCCGCACCAGTCAGGGGTCAGCAATGGCTGGAAGTACAGGAGGAAATAATGCTGTGCGGTTTGTAGCTCTGAAGCCCCCACTGTATTCTGAGTGAACCTCATGTGACTCCTTGGGTTGGTTTCCCTCACCGTTCTCACTCCAGGTGAGTTGCTATCCCATGGGGAGCAGGCAGGAAGTGTTGCTGACACAGTTGGCCCCTGATGCTTGCAGGTTGTGGAGATCCATGAAAGGGGCCTTGAGGGGCCAAAAACTTCACTTTTCCCATGACATAGTGTGCTCTGAGGAATCTGCTTGTCCCAGCAGTTAACTCCGCTATTACCAAGTAAAGCCTCTCCAGGAATGTTATAAATGTATTTTCAGCATGAGGGTCTGTGTAATCTGTTTTTAATAAGTTATTTTTAGAAGGAGGAGGAGAACAGAGCTAGTAGCATCTTTTTATTCCTGTAGGTAGTGTAACAGCCATCTCTGTATGTGTGGTGTTTTTGCATGAAAATTGCATGGTAGATCCTGGTGGGAATGAGAGCAGAAGGTCACAGTTGTGTGTTTAGTAGAGAAGGGGAAGCTGTTCTAGGAGCCATTCAGAAACCTTGGAGAATACAGCTCAGCTCCACGTCTGGTCAGATGCAATTTAAACCTTGCACATCCTTCTAGAGCTGCTTCCTGAACTAGGACAGCTTCGTGGGCTGTGCCCTTGCTCTTTGTTGTAAGATTGTTGGTGACACAGCTCTCGCAGGGGGGCACTGGGCTCCTTCCTGCTGCTCCAACAGATGAAGTTGGTCACATGAAATCTGCTTTTGTGACTGAATTATGGTTTCGAGCCAGTGGACTTACTGTTGCTTCGTGACTCTTCGAGCCAAGATTTGCAAGAGGTGTCACGTATTAGGTCTGCTGCTGGAGCTGGGGAAAATGACGAGCTGTCAAGCACACCATGCCTGATGGCCAGGACAAGAGTCACCACCTTGGGTTTCAGCTTAAAGCATCTACATTTCTCCTGCTGTGGCTAAAGCACGATGAGGAACATTGGGCTAGAAAATGTTATCCATGAAGCATTTAGTAGAAATCTACATATCTGCCCCAGTTGTTATTATATCACAGATACATGCAGATACGCAGATTGCGGTGGTTCATTGTGTGAATATGACTGAGTGTTCCTGCCCTTTGGCCTTTGGGCTGTAACTAGAACTGTTCCCCATTAGGAAGTGTTTGCAGTGTGCTGTAAGAAACTGCTTCAGTCTCCGTCATGGCACTGTCTGATTAGTGGATGCTTTGGGACATTCCAGCTGGGGGGCAAGCTGGGATCCACCTCTTAACTTGTCTGTCACTGCCCTTAGTGCCACGCTGGACCTACTCCTGAGAGCCTGATGGTTCCCGGGGGAGGGAAGGAATACCTAAACGTTTCTAGAAAACAGTTCCTTTGATTCCTCAGCAGCTGCCTTTGAGGGAATTCCCCACCCCTTGCAAGTGCTGTAGAGCTGTGTCATAGGTAAATTTGGTTTATGTGAGGACCAGGATGATACTCTGGTGCCCTGTGCCCTCCTGTTCAGTGCAGCAGCTCAAAGTCCACGCTTGTGGCAAACAGAAATAGACTCTCTGCTTTTCAGCCTGTGCTGATCTGTCTCTTACCCTCTTCCCGCGTTCTGCCTGCTGTAGAGGGAGTGTGGAAACACCACGGTGAAGCTCTCCCTGGGGTTATAAATAGCCCCAGTGGGTCGGGGTGAGTCATGTGTTTGGGCTGAGGGGGCTTGGGGCGCGGGGCTCGTGCGTACAGGATATCCTCACGCAGCCTCGCCGCGCTTCCAGCTCCCCCTGCTCACACATCCTGCGCGCATCCTGGCTTCTACTCGGCAGGCACAGAGAGGGGCCCTGAAACAACAGCTGCTGGAAGCGGCTTCGTGCCCTCCCTTACCTGCTGCCTGAAGCGCGAAAGTACGAGTTTACCAGGAGACTAATCTCTCAGAAGGGAGAATGCGTTGAAACTCAGGGCCTGCCTCTTTCTTTCACCGCTCTGAAGGCCAGTGTGAGCACAGACGGCAGGAGGGAGCACTGAGTGCTTGTTTAGGTGGCAGGAATTGGCAGAGCAGAGACTTGAGGATTTTGAGTAAGTGGATTTCTAATTGCAAACTGCATTCATGCTAGTAAGCGGCTGGAGAAAGGTGCTGTGTAGCTCAAGGGCACAAGTACACATTCTGTGTACACATTCACAAGTACCCCAGACTTGCTGCCTGGGGTTACCAAGGCTGGCCATCTTTGCCTTCTGGTCTGATGTAATTCCTGCGAGTGCTGATGCCCAGTCCACCCCTACCTGCGTCTCACACTGTTCTGTGCTGGCCACTGCAACAGGCGAGAAGTGTTCAGTGAAGGGCAGTTTTTCCCATTTTCCAACTAACAGCGGCTCCTTCTGTTACAGATGTGGTGGAGAAGGATCCAGATGGGGACTGCAGGAGGCTGGCCTTGCAGAACCTGCAACTAATGGAGAACCTGAAAAAGAAACTCCAAACTGTCCCTTCATTAGCTGAAGGGCCAAAGAAATGACCTTTACCTCATCCTCTTGCCAGCTGGAAGTGTGCAGGCCCTGCTGGGACCTCTTTAGCAGTCACCTGGCTGGAGAGGAGGAAGAAGGGGGAAGGGTGCAGAGCCATAAGCCAGCAAACCTGACTTGACATCTGGACTTTGTAGTGGAGGCCAATTCAGTGAGCTATTGCCATCCGGTACGGGGTGTACAGATGCAGGAAGGTAGGCCAGCACCGCCATCCTCCCCGCTCCTCCCAGCCCCCACCTCCAGCTATTTATAACCTTGGCAGGTTCCAGCACTCTGCTAAAAATACAGGGCAGATCTCACAGCAGACTTCTTGTCAGAAAAACAGGGGGACTGGAGAGGGCCATGCATCTCTCAGGGCTCAGTCTATGAGATGCCCTTAACAAGGGCTCCCGTGTCTCCCAGCAGTCAGCGTTTGGTGGAATAGTTACCAGTCTGCTGTTTGAAGGGGTGACGCGCTCCAGGTAATGACACTGCTGGTGAGGTGTAAGAACTGAAGAGCTGCACTGACATTCTGAAAGTGTGCCAAACCTGCTGGGCTGTGGTTAGGCAGGAACGAAGCAGGAATCCTTTTTGTATAATCTTGGTACAGAAATAAGTTCTTACTAAAGGATAACTAACATCCAGATTTTGGATGTTAAATCTCCCCCCACCCTTTTTCTCTGAAAGCATACAATTTAAAAACTTCATATTCACCCCAAGTTTTGAAGCAAGTCACAAAAGGAAAAAGAAGAATTGTTCTAAGCAGAAGGGCTGGTTGGTATGTTATAAATGCACCTTCCTGGGGCAGGGTAATAGGCTGAAAGGTGAGCAAAACCTTGGTCGCTTACATTGGGCTTCACTTCTCAGGATCCTACTTGTGCCAGGGAATACAGTTAGATCCCAAAACCTGACTCAGAGTAGCTTGGCATAACTTTGGAAAAGAAGCTTCCCAGTGAGAAAGAAGCTTCACTGGTGCAAAGTGACCCAGCGTGAGAAGGGAGGATTGGACCAGGCAACCTCCAGAGGTCCCTTCCAACCCAACCCTTCTGCAGTTCTGAGGTTTGGTCCAGGTTTTGTAAGGGGTAGCTCGAACCTACCTGACCCAGTTTGGGTTGGGCAAAGTCTGCCTTCATTCTGCAGTAGGGGAGTAGTTTGACTTTTAGCCAAGCTCCTACCCAGATGGGACAGAGATTTTTTTCAGAAGTTCTAGCTTCCAGGGAATGACAAATCAGTTGGCACCTTAGCAGATCAAAGTTGTACTTGGAAGATTTTGTCAATTCAGCAGTTTCCACCTCAGTTTCTCAGTTCTTTTCTGTACTTAGAAAAAGACCTAAAATCACAATATGCAGGTCTTGTTGGGTTTTTACTCCCTCAAATTTATTAAAATACTAAAACCAGCTTCTTTACAGGATATACATGTGACTCTTTGTATGTAGTGTTTGAGATAATAGTGTTGCTTGTACAGTTAAGCTGCAAAAATGAATTTATTGGTACTAACCAATAAAAAAACAACAAAAGAGCCTTGTTGTGGTAGTGTGTTGCCTGATACATGACCTCTAACGAGGACAGAATAAATGACCTAGTATTAAAGTCAACTTGGCATTTGGGAAGTGTAAGTTCTCAAGGGTCCTCCACTTCATCAGCCACTTCTTCCACCTCCTTGTTCTCCATACTGCTGTGGTGAATCTGCTCTGGAACCAGAGTTCGGCTTATGGGAACACCTGCTCCTCGGTGAACTGCCTCAATGGTCTGCTGCGTCACGTAGTATCTCAGGTTCACAGGTAGAATTCTTTTCTGCATCTCTTCCAGGTACTGGTGAGCCTAAAGGAATGCACAGAGATCACTGCTGGGGGGTGCACAACAGTGAAAAGCATCACCCTTCGTGCAGGGCTGAGCTCTGAGCAGGAGCTCGGTGTTGAAGGGCACTAACACTTAGCCAGGAGTTGTGGCTCTTTGCCCTTTCACGGCAACTTGTGTCACTTCTGTCTTTTCCAGTTTAAAAAATAAGGGGTCTCAAAGGGTGGTGTTAAATTCTCCTGATGGCTGAAGCACTGTCAAAACACCTTAAAGCCAAGGTTAATTGGCACAGCTGGAGGAGCTTGCACTTGGCATCCTTGGGTTTCATAACAGCAGCTGGTTACAGTTCAGTCCAAGTGCTGGGGGGTGTGTGGCACTTCTGCCCTGCAGTGATTCACCGGTTCCTCAAATGACTGTAATTTTACAATGCTCTTGTCTTTGGCCAGGTGTCAAATGAAGTACAGTGGAATTCACAGAATCACAGAATGGTTTGGGTTCGAAGGGACCATAAAGATCATCCAGTTCCAACCCCCCTGCCCTGGGCAGGGACACCTCCCACCACACCAGGTTGCTCCAAGCCCCCTCCAACCTGCCCTTGAACCCCTCCAGGGATGGGGCAGCCACAGCTTCTCTGGGCAACCTGGGCCAGGCTCTCACCACCCTCACACCAAACAAGTTCTTCCCCACATCTCAGCTCCATCTCCCCTCTTTCAGGGTCAAACCCTTCCCCCTCCTCCTAGGGCTCCCCTCCCTCATCCAGAGTCCCTCCCCAGCTTTCCTGGGGCCCCTTGAGGGACTGGAAGGGGCTCCAAGGTCTCCCCGGAGCCTTCTCCAGGCTGAACCCCCCCAACTCTCTCAGCCCCTACTCCCAGCAGAGGGGCTCCAGTTCTTGGAGTATCTCCATGGCCTCCTCTGGCCCTGCTCCAACAGCTCCATGTCCTGCTGTTGGTGGCCCCAGAGCTGGAGGCAGCACTGAGGGGCTGAGAGAGTTCTGCTGTTGGGCTCCCCAGAGCAGAGCAGAGGGGCAGAATCCTCCCCCTTGTCCTGCTGGCCACGCTGCTGGGGATGCAGCCCAGGATGTCAGGGGTTTTCCAGGCTGCCAGCGCATGTTGCCAGCTCATGGTGAGCTTCTCATCCACCAATACCCTCAAGTCCTTCTCCTCAGGGTTGCTCTCCAGCTGTTTTCCACCCAACTTGTATTTGTGCCTGGGATTGCCATGATCCAGGTACAGGGCCCTGCACTTGGCCTTGTTGAACCTTACAAGGTTCACGTGGTCCCACTTCTTCAGCCTGTCCAGGTCCCTCTGGATGGCATCCCTTCCCACCAGTGTGTCAACCACTCCACACAGGTTGGTGTCATCAGCAAACTTGCTGAGGGTGCACTCAATCCCACTATCCATGTCCTTGAGAAAAATGTTGAACAGCACCAGTTCAGTACTGACCCCTGAGGAACACCACTCATCACTGGCTTCCACTTGGACATTGAGCCATTGACCACAACCCTTTGAGTGCAGCCGTCCAGGCAGTTCCTGGTCCAAGGAGTGGTCCATCCATCAAATCTGAGTCTCTCCAGTTTAGAGACCAGGATGTTGTGTGGGACAGTGTCCAATGCTTTGCAGAAGTCCAGGTAGATGACATCTGTTGCTCTCCCCTTATCAACTAATACTGTAGTGCCCATCATAGAAGGCCTCCAGATTTGTCAGGCATGACCTGCCCTTGGTGAAACCATGTTGGCTGTCACCAGTCACCTCCTTGTTTTCCATGTGCCTTAGCATGGTTTCCAGGACGATCTGAGATATGCACCCAGACAGACCCTTCTGTTCTTATCTAATTGGGAATGTTTAAGAATCCTCTACTATTTTGTGTTCAGTTCTGGGCCCCTCACTACAAGAAGGACATTGAAGTGCTGGAGCGTGTCCAGAGAAGAGCCACCAAGCTGATGAGGGGTCTGGAGAACAAGTCCTACGAGGAGAGGCTGAGAGAACTGGGCATGTTTAGTTTGGAGAAGAGGAGGCTGAGGGGAGACCTCATTGCCCTCTACAACTACCTGGAAGGAGGTTGTAGAGAGGTGGGGGTTGGCCTCTTCTGCCAAGAGAGGAATGACAGGACCAAGGAAATGGTCTGAAGCTGGGGCAGGGGAGGTTTAGATTAGATCTTAGGAAGCATTACCTTACTGAGCGAGTGGTTGGACACTGCAACAGCCTGACCAGGGCGATGGTGGAGTCACCATCCCTGGAGGTATTTAAGAAATGTGTAGATGTGGCTCTTCAGGGCATGTTCTAGTGCCCAAGATTGTTGTTTTGTGTCTGTGGTTTGGGTATTTTTTTGTGGTTGGACTCAATGATCTCAAAGGTCCCTTCCAACCATGAAGATTTTGTGATTTTGTGATTTATACTCTGTGTCCTGTGAGCTTTTTTTTTTCTCTTCATTCCCATGAAATGAAAAATATATTAATTTGGATATAGTTCCTGAGGTTTACCACACCCTGCTGAGCAGTTTAGCTCCTGTAAAGGAGCCTCTCCTATGGAATGTCTTCCTGTATGAGATAACCATGCTATACCAAGCTGCACTGGTGTCTGTAATATGGGCTCTGTAGATTCGGAGAATTAAGAATTAACTTACCGTATGGAACTCCTCTGCTTTTGCATAATGTTCGACCAGAAATCCCAAGATATCACCAGGACGGATGGCATTGTCAAAATCTTGCTCAGCCAGGAGAAGTTCACACTGTCTGACTGCTTCTTTGGGATCTTCAGAGTAAACTCTAGTAAAGAGCAAAAGGAAACTGAACAATCTGGGGGAGAGCATTCAGGTTGGGAGACGTTATTTTTTTTTTACTGTGCTATGTTTCATTATTGCCTTCTGACAGAGCTGCACTTCCCTCGGTCAATGCACTTGCTTGTATTTCATCTTTTCATTGTCAATGTAAACTGCACTTTTAAAAAAATAGTCCCATAATGGTTTCTCTGCTACAAAAATGTCACAGCAGCTTTTATAAGACTGTCTACAAATTATTTGTTGAACTGTAGGCACTAGTACAACTTTTCTTCTTGTATGCTATGTCTGTCATTACCTTACATGCTCTGAATACTGCAGCTCACCTCCGAGCATGGACGAATCGCTTAATCAGGGTCATCTTGCTCTGCAATTGTGCCATTTTGCTTTCCTGTTCCAGAGGGCTTCTAGTCTTTGCTTTTGAAAGGCACTTACATGCTTCTGTCAGCGCCCCTTGGGCCTTCTCGTAGTTCTGATACTCATCAATTTCTACCTGCAAGAAGAGAAATGAGATGAAGGTCTTTCTCCAGAGGTAACAAACCAAACCCCTTCAGCAGCCACAGAAGAGAGGTGTACCTGAGCACATGCATCATAGAAACCTGCCAACAGGTCAAGGGCCCTTCCTTTAGTATAGAAACTAATTATGTTCTTCATAATCTCGGGGTCCTTGCGCCAATCCAGGGATTGTAGATAGTTGGCTGCCATGATATAAATCTCCCTCTGTTTGGAAACTCCCGCAAAGAAGACGATTTTCTCAGTATCTCCAGATTTCAGCAGTGCCCTCATAGCCTGGCAATGGGAAGTGGGGCACAGGGGAAGAGGGAGAAAAATATCGTTGTAAATGCAAAAACACAGGCTATGGTAAGCCTCATCTGTTAATCTGTATGAAGGCTGTTCCAAGATTTGCTTCTCAAAACACCCTTGTTTTGAAAAATCTTAGAAAATCTCAGCCTCTTCAGCATTTTTTCTACCTATCCAGGCTGACCTTCAGCTTGTTTCCTGCTTGTGTGTATTTCTTGGTCGCCATGTGGTAATTGCCTTGTCTCATGCAGCAATCAGCAATTTGCTCCAACAGCTCCCTCCGGGACTCCTCACAGAGGTCCTTGGAGTCCTTTAAGACCGTCATCTTCTCAGCCATCTCCTCTGTGATGGTCAGGTTCTGCTTCAGGCAAAGCTGCAGAGCTTCATGGTACTAACGAAAGTGAGAAAGCAGTAAGATTTGCAAACAGTACTATGATGCTTCACGTTGCTTGTGGTGTAACCAACAGAAATCAGCTATATGAAGGCACAGATGCCAGCTGCTGTGGATGTTCTGTCTAGAACACTGGGGAGTCATTAAGCATCCCAGCATCAAGTCCCGTTCAAGTACACGCTGTCTCATTTTGTTCGCAAAAATGTATTTGTTCTGCCATGAAGACCATTGTTTGTCACCTGTTTTCTCAGAGGACACTAGTGTGGCACTAAAGAGTCATCTGTTTTGTCTCTTTAAATGTGATGTTTTCAGAGACTTATGAGTCACATTTATTAGGGATGATTGTACCAACATTTTCAGCAAATACAAATAAAATAAATAAAAGCATTTGAAAGATTTTGTTAAATATTTTGCTACCTCCCATATAGGAACAGATTATGAGTAGAATATACAACAGCTTTTAGCCCAGAGAAGGGCTACTGTACCCTTGTAAAACATGAGAAAAAGTAAGCTCGAGGGAGCGTGTCAAGGAGGAGTGGGTACAGGAGTGCTTTGGTACCCAGCGCATCACAGTGAGGGCACGGTGGGTGTGCAAAAGGTTTCAGTGAGAAATGAAGCACCTTAACTACATTGGTGGTATGACAGGAGGGACAACATCGGGGGTTTTGCTGGATGATGTTATAATTTCCCTGTCTCCAACTACTATTTAGAGAATAGGAGTTTTTCTTTTCCTAGGAGTGCAAAATCTGCAGATTT